TTATACAGATAAAATTTTTTCTGAATCAGTTAAGAGATATAAACAGGAATATAGAATAAATATAAAATCGCATTAGGAGATATTAAAATATAAATTGTAAATAATACTAATTAGTGCATTTTTATTTGTATCACTTGTTACATTAGCATCTTGTAACACACAACTGTGTTTTAAGATTTTGGGATTGGCTAAACAATTAGATTGGTCTGAAAGACAAGTGGAGAGATGGCTTCGACTACGTCGCTCTCAAGACAAGCCATCTACTCTTACAAAATTTTGTGAGAGCTGGTTAGTCATCATCTTGATTTATCACTTTGCATTGTTCAAAGATCAACGCTGTATATCTGTCATCTTTTTTTACAGTTGGAGATGGACCTATTATACATATTCATTCTTGTATGGCCTTGTTGTCCTGTGGGATAAACCGTGGCTTTGGGACATAAAACATTGTTATTATAATTACCCCTATCATCCAGTTACTAGTGGTATATGGTGGTATTATATGATATCAATGTCATTCTATTGGGCATTAAGCTTTTCTCAATTCTTTGATGTCAGAAGGAAAGATTTTTGGCAGATGTTTATTCATCATATAGCTACAATTTCGCTTATGTCTTTCTCGTGGGTTGGGAACCTGACGAGGATCGGTAGTCTGGTCTTGCTTGTACATGATTGCGCAGATGTATTCTTAGAGGTAAGCATGTTTGAAGCAGAAAAATCTCTTTACTATATTCTACATCTACGCACTAATACGCATTCTTAATTCATAGGCGGCAAAAATGGCCAAGTATGCAAATTATCAGAAAATTTGTGATTGTATATTCGCCGTGTTCACAATTCTGTGGATCGTAACACGTATTGGTGTGTATCCAGGTTGGATAATTTATAGGTATGTGTACTGGTATATTTAAATTTTGAAACGTTTAATCATTATATTCCGAGTGTCGATTTGTGTGACACTGACTCGTATTTATTGTGTATTGCAGCACATCTACAGAGGCGCCTAAGATAGTACCGATGTTCCCTGCATACTATATCTTTAATTCTTTGTTAATCTTGCTACTGCTTCTTCATCTATTTTGGACTTTTTTAATCCTTAAGATCGCATATCGCGCTTTCAATGCTGGTCAGGTACGTGCTGCTGATTTATACAAATTGTCGCGTGCACGTTCGTTGGGACATTTCTCGATGTTTACGAATGAACGCACACCTATATGCTAATCTTTTCTTGTGGAAAACATATTACAGATGGAGGGTGATATTCGCAGTAATAGCAGCGACGAAGTATCCGACACTTCGGTCAATAATACTCCCACAAACAGTACCGCAAATTACAGTAACAAGTCAAATTCGAAACCAAAAGCCCATTAACAAAGCGCATGCTATATAGACGAGCTATTATTTAAAAACAAAAAAAAAGAAACCGATCCCAAGGCAGAAAATTCATCCGGACGTTTAGCTAGGCGCTAATCTTTCTTCCTACAAATATAATGAAATCTTGGATGCAATTTCAATCTTGTAATCCACGATGCTAACAGTAACGTACCTATTTAATCTTTCATGAAATTGAAACACACACACACACATACATACATACATACATACATACATACATACATATATACATACACATACACATATATTTTTTCCCGTTTCCCTTTCATTAATGTTAAAGCAATTTAATGCTTCGTCACACATTTGCCTATTCTTTCGATTATATATTTACGTTTAAGAATACATCATTAATAAAGGACAACGAAAGAAAGAAAAACTAGTGGGGGGGAGGGGGGAAGAGGAACAAACTTTACCAAGAATGATTCGTGTTGCTAATTTATATGACTTTCTTATTTAAGAATTAATTATAAGTATACATGTCCTTTTTGAAATAAATTCTTAATGCTTAGTTAAGCTAAGAATGGACCAAAGCCAAGACGTTCGGTGTCTGAACTCCGTCGATTGTCTCAGAGTCTCTGATATCGCGTATAACTACTACTTTGAAGAATGTATTTATTTATTTTCGTATACTTTGTGAGCATCAGAGTCAGTGATCGATTAAGCATAAGAACAATTCATTAATAATAAATTTCTATTAATCACACATTCTCTCTTATTCCATATCGAAAGATCTCTGTGTGTATGTGTGTATGTGTATGAGACTGTTCTTTCTTGACGTCAAATTTAAATAAGTTGTGGTGCGTTAATGCATAATTGAATTAAATTATGTGATGATTAAGAATAAATCGTAATATATTTATATTGCTTGAGCT